TGATAACCTCTTTCGAAATTCATTTGTATCAATAAATTCTGCAGAGAAAATGATTATCTTCAATCTATAAACATTCCGTTTGCACCCACTTAAAATCGTTGTTTTATTGATCTTTTTCACCGACTGGAGGAGAACTCTTTTGTCATTTTAGTGTCTAACTCTCTTGTTTATAATGCAGATAATTTTGAAAGAGTATAGCTTGCATTGGAAGAAACCCCGAAAATTATATTAAAAGGCACCGATAGATTAATTAGGAGAGAGTGATTTCCGCCAGCTCGCCCCTCTCAACCGGCAGGTAGGTAGGTAAAGTTAAACGCAAGCACGCTGTTGTTTTGAAAATGCAGGCGGCGGTCGAACGCAACAGGACCAAAGAAAATGCGCAAATTTCTCCTCTGCCATCTTTCAGCCTCCCCTCGGAAATACAAGTGACTGTGTTGAACGCGCCGCCAGTACATGCGCACGTGACTCGATGCAAGCCCTACTCATTTCGACCCACCCACTCCAGGTCGCGTGTGCGTCCGCACTGGCAGTTGAAATTTGATTGGTTGACTTGAGCATAAATCGCACGACCAAGGCATCGTAAATTCCCCGGCCAGTGAAGACATACCTCGGCGCAGAAGCTGCAAATCGTAAATCGGCCGTGGATTAGCCAATCACATTGCATTCGGCAAATGCAGCTGGGACTCGGCATTGATTTTAACATCCACAGGACCGCGTCAACCCCACGAGCTTTCTTCAACTGAAATCTGGGAATGGTTTGTGCCCGCAACAGTTCTGCCTGACCCCAAAGAAAGTAAACAAGTAACTGAGAACATGAATTTCGGCAGTTTCCTGCGTAACTTATCCTCAGATCGAGAGAATGCACCGGAGGAGGGAAAAAAGCCAAGCGATGGCTTCACCGGTGGTAGTCTGTTTGGGGCATCTAGCCGTTTCTTGGAATCGGTCACCGCCAAAACTGGCAATCTTGTCTCCGACTTCAGTCAAAAGGTAGATCTGGCGAACAAAATCGACACCATCAAACGTCATACGTCCATAGATAAGATCGGTCAGTCTGTGCTCGGCTCAGCTTTCTCCCACCCCACTCCCAAATCCCAGGAAAGCACCCCTGTCCGACCCGCGGAAGACACCTGGAGCATGCCACCGAAATCCGATGTCACTACTCACGACCTGCTCCACGAGTCTGCTCTTTGGAAAGCCTCCTTTGAAGAGAATCAGACTGTGCCCATCACCGCGCCTGAACAGCCCATAACAGCACGTGTGCTGACCCACGAGGAGTCCACTGAACGACATCAAAACCCCTTTAACGTTGAGTCCAAAAGAGCAGTAGAACAGTCAAATATTTTAACATTTTCAAGTACTACTACTACTGCTGCCACAACCACTCCTTCTGCAGAGATCACCACTTCGAAAAATTCAGATATCTCCCAATCTGCCTTTTCCACGTCATTCGACAGACCGGTGAGGCAACAGTCTGGTTCTATAGACTATACTGGTGCATCTAGCCGAGTTACAGCGCCAGTTAAGCGCCAGAGTACGACTCCAGCTTACGGTGGGAAACCACCACCACCAAGACCACCACCTCCAAGATCGGGGTCACAGTCGGTTGATGATCCCACCCAGAAGCCGGCCGTGAACTCCGCAATCGTGAAAGAACAACCCTTGCCAGTAGCAGCAGCAGCAGCGGTTACACAGGAGACGCCAATCACTGAAATACAACGCCCTGAGCGGACTTATTCTCCCGGTGATCTAGACTACCTAACTCGACTTCAATGTCAGGAGATTGTCTCCGCTGTGGACACAATGATTGCCGGTGACCTAGAGTACGGTCTGCAGGTGAATAACCCACCTGAGGAAAAATCGAAGTCTACCATGAACGACCGCCAGTGCAACTCTCAGGACTACTCTGGACCTGCGCAAACCTTCGAAAGTTCCCAACGAACATCACGCTTTGAACAACTGCAGCAGCAACACGTGGAAGATGAGGCTGAAAACCAGACATTGGATGTATCTGCCTCACCGTTCCTTGAAGCCTCAGATGCCAGTTCAGCGTCTGAGTACGGCGTCGGTGGGTCTGAAGCCGTTTACGGCGCCGAAAAGGTGGAGGAAGAGGAGGAGGAGGAGGCGTATTGTGGACGGAGTGCGGTGCGTTGGCCGGAAGTCTATGAGCCAGCAGAAGTGCATCCAGAACAGCCAACGTACTTTGCTGAGCTTGTCAAAGTGCCGGTTCAGGAGGATACCTCAAGGAAGGCGTTGGAGTCGTTCGTTGAGGAGTATGTGGAGGGCTTAGTTAATGGCAGGTAAGCGAAAACGTTGATGGCCCTTAACATGGGCACTTCAGAATATTCGGCAGGAGTTTCCTTGGTAGCGCACATATGTTCTTATTTATATTTAAA